GAAAGACAAATTCTCACAAACGTATTCATTCATCCAACAGATGTTCTGAAAATATTTTTGAACAGTGTACCAGGTATGGTTCAAGATGCTAGATGCTAAAGAAAAAGGAATCTCTGCTCTCACAGCACTGACAGGCTAATGGGGGGAGACAGTGACATCTTACTGTTAGATGGCGGTAAATGCTGTTGAGAAAAACGTGGCCTGGGAAGAAGAGAGGGAAAAGCTCACCAGAAAAAGAAGGAAATGAACACTTATTGACCATTTTTGAATTACTGAGTATTCTACATAAGTCACTTCTCTTGATCTTCACCGCTCTCTCATTGTAACCCCATTTTTAAAACTGTAATAGCCAATTTACATGTAAAGAAACTGGAGTTGCACAACCCTAGAAACTTGGCTAAGGCCAGGGTGTTAATTCATAGCCACATGGTACTGACCTTCTTAACTGGTTGTAGGAAGTGAAGCCCAGGGCACATTTGTAAAGGAGACTCTGCCCACACCCGCCCTTCCTCAGCTCCCACACCCAACCTTCTCCAGGACCTTCAGTGCTGCTTGGAATGTTCTGGACTCACTTTTCCCCATTAATCTTTCCCTTGTTCTCATTCTCTGAAGCTCTTATTTTACTCTATGGTAATTCCATAGATGGATTCTCCTAGAGTCCGGGCGTTTAGTGACTGTTAATGTTTGCTAATCCCATAATTTTCTCCATTAACAGCCTAACTAGTCACATCATCATTACCCAGGTAAGATATTTGAGGGGGCCCTTTTTCTGGAAACAGTCTGTAATCTTAATAGTGGAAATATCAGGCCCTCTGGTTGAGCAGAAACGAACATGTTTGTTGAAATGGTGTTATTTATGGGGATTAGAGTCATACTAAAATATCAGTTTCTCATCTTCCTGTCTGTTATAAGTATTGAACTCTCGAAAATGCTATAAGAAAAGAGCGTGTCTTTGTGTGCACGACACAAATCCATCGATCTCCTGTGAGATCTGAAAGATAGAGAACTTTCACTTTTTACTTTATACTTGTTGGTACCAGGTATGAGCCCCCGGTACCTTAAAAGTGATGATGAGGGACTTCCCTGGTGGTTAAGAATCTGCCTGCCTATAAAGCAGAAACTAACACACCATTGTAAAGCAATTATACTCCAATAAAGAGGTTAAAAAAAAAAAGAAAAAGAAAAAGAAAACTCAGAATTGACTGAAATGTATTGGAAGCAGGACATATATTTGAAACTCAATGACTCTGGGCTAGAGATACTATCAACAGTGTTAAGGACATATACAAAATGAATGCTTTGTGTGATTCTCTTTCCATAATACATTGTCTTTTTTAACACTGTATTGTTCAGTGTTTAATTAGATTATATTTTGAAAGCAAAAAACAAAAAGAATCTGCCTGCCAATGCAGGGGACATGGGTCCGATCCCTGGTCCAGGAAGACCCCACATGCCGCGGAGCAACAACTACTGAGCCTGCACTCTAGACCCAGGAGCCACAACTACTGAAGCCTGCATGCCTAGAGCTCGGGCTCCACAACAAGAGAAGCCACTGCAATGAGAGGCTGGCGCACCACAACGAAGAGTAGCCCCCGCTGGCCGCAACTTGAGAAAGACCGCGCACAGCAACGAAGACCCAATGCAGCCAAAAATAAATTTTTTTTAAAATGATGATGAAATACAGCTTTTAAAACGATGCTTGAGACTTAGACTCTGGACCGTGGCTAAGTTGTTTCCACCAGGATCTCTTCTTTCTGTTGTTTAGCTGAATGCTTCTGCTTAAAAACACTCTGCTATTAAGAGTGCCCTCACCCCATAAGGTATCACCACAGCAAGAATCAAGGGACTCAACAGACAGAGAAAATATACTGTCACAAGCCTACACTCAGAATGAATGATGAGCTGTTTTTTAGTTTTGACGAGAAGCCACAGCTCGTTGTTAATAACAGAGGAATGCCTAAGAATCCTGTAGTTCTGATGTCTCAGTCAAACCTGTGAGGGTGTTGGAAGGACTGTGTGATTTAGAAGAAAAAAAATATATATATATACATATATGTATATATAGTTTTTAAAGTCTCAGTGAGTTACTTCAAATAAAGTCTCAATGAGTTACTTCAAATAAAGTAGAAACCAGAATTCTGTGGATATTTAGAATATTTGAAGACCAGGCATTTGAGCCAAAAAAATGTTTGCCTACAAAATTTTATTTCTTTCATTGTCTGCCAGGAGGGTTACGTAAGCCTTTCTTCAGTACCACCCAAAGCCCTCAGTAAAAGGAACACACATAAATAACGACGAGATAAAGGCTCCAAGTGGAAATTCAACTGTATTTATTTTTCTTATACAGAATCAGAGAAGTAAAAACCAGTACCAAACTCCAGTTAAGATGGTTTGATCTGACTGATTTTTCTGCATACTTTCTGTATGTATAGCAATCTAACTTAAAAATAAACACACATATGTCATATTACAAAATGTAGAAATAATTTTTTTAAAAGTTAAAATACTAACACATAAATGATGTAGTGTGTTAGGGAAACGGTCTCTGTCAATCACCCATTTTCCCAATTAAATTAATCTACAATTTCCTTTTAACAGCTTTTGTTTTTCATAAAAGTTGCACTTTCGGAAGTTACTTTCCAATTATGTCATGAGAACACAACTTGTCACTAACAGAACTCACTCCAGATCACCTTCTACAGAGAGCTTTTCTCCCAAGCTGGAGTCAGCAGCATCCCAGCCAGCTAAATGTTTTACTCTGTTTTCATGTATATTGTATAATCAGTGAAAAGAAATGGCATTTCACATCCTAAATTCTATGGTGAAATGCTAACAATCACTAAGATTTCATAGAATTGCAAATAGGTTTTGACAATGTATTTACTTCAAGAAAATGTGTTTTATCAGGGGGAATAAAAACCTTGAAAGATCTCTGAAATTATTTTTCAATTTCAATTTTTAATCTGCCTTTTCTCTGGCAAAATTATTGGATGAAATGTTGAAAGTTATTGATTGATTTAGGACTAAAAAGATGAGATACTGTGGCAGTTCTTTTATAATAAGAAATATAGTATAAATAGCACCTTATCATGAATTCTGCAGGGGTTTTAACACTTACAATAATAGGAAAGAGCCTTTAAAAAGTTGTTCTTACTTTAGATTTCTAGCTTTAGTGTTCTTTAACAAAGGCCATATTTTATGGCCTTAAAAATAACAACAAAAATTATATCTGGCTTCATTTATTAGTAAACATGTAGTCAGGGTCCATATTTAATTCTGGAAAAATAATTGTTATGTTCATTAATAAATGTTCCAACTAATTTCACTAAAAAAATTCTTCTAGTATTTTCTAATGCCACAAGCTTACTAGGAAATTACATCTAAAAATCGATAATGCAAATCATCGATGTTCTAACTGCTTTAAAAAGAGAGGGGTATCTGTTTCTTTTATGTTTAATAACCTGAAAATGAGTCTGTAAAAATATTTTTTAAAAATACAGTAACACTGCTCAGTTTTACTAGGTCCCTTGTTTTTGAGTCTTTTTTTTTTTTTTTTTGCTTTTTCTTAGAAAGAATGTACAATGCTTTTTGCAATTATTGCTAACACAAGAGGAAAAGAAATAGTGTTCCCTCCAATTTAGTAGCAAAAGAAACATCTACCCCCATCTCTCTCAGAGCACTTCAAGAGAGAGAGAAGGAATCAGAGGAACAGAAACCATGGTTCCTTCAGGGGGAAAAAAGTCACTTCATTGTGTTGGAAGCAATGGTAGGTTTATGGTCTTGTCCGCCTACACACTTAACATCAGCGTAGACAGGACAACACTAGCCCTGCCCCTCCTTCTCCCACATAAAGTGCACCGAAGCCTTCTTTTCTGTAGGAGACTGTAGGAGAAAATTGTTGCTTTGCTCTTTGGGGGCACCTCATACCTCCTGCTTGTCTTGCTTTTGGGGCACTATAGCTTGTCTATTTCCATTTCACACCTAACAGCCTTTCCACTATATTCCCTAACTTTCCTACGTCATCTCTGACCTTTACACTTGCTTTCTTTCCAACAAGATAAGATGTATTCTGCCATCTATCTTTTGGTAGATCGAAAAGGATCTCAGATCCCCAGCAAATAAGCCCCTTGGGAATGGAAAGGTTCCTCTCAGAGACCTGCATTATTAATGTCTCTCAAAAAAAGATATTAAATTCATAGATTATAAATAATGTCCGTTCAAAATATTAAACAGTTGAGGACTTCATTGGCAATGCAGGCGGGGTGCATGCCAGGCAAACCCAATGCTCTCTCTCAGTCCTTAAAAGCTAATAAAAAACGGTTTTGGTTACATAAGAGGTATTGAGTACATATTTCATGCCTTTTTATACCAACTGTAGCAAACAAGGTTAGGATAATATACTTAGGAATCAACATTAGTGACTTCAGAAACATGTCTCCACCATACACCCTCAGGGGGCATTTTTTTACATGTCAGTCAGAGATCTGCTTCATCCTTCAAACAGTTTCATAGATAAGATTATTTTAAACCCTTGACATCTTGAAAGAAGCAAAACCGACAAGGCTTTGGAATTTTAAAAGCAACAGCTTACTGTGCGTGCCATCAGGTTGAAAGCTATGTGGTCCTGATGTTTTCAGAACGGTTTCAAAAGACAGAAATACAGATGTCACTGATTTATCAAAAACATTTGATTGCCCTTTGTCATCAGCTACAAAATAATAGTGCTTCATAAAATAAACATTTGAGTTCTAAGCTGCAGTTTAAAAAAAAATCCAACTTGTAATTTTAAAAACCTTTGTTTAATAAATGTTCATAATTAGTACCAAACTGGTCTCTTTCATAAGATCTTAGTGTAGGAGCTGTGACTAATGCTGCTGTTACTCTCCTGCTGGAAGGACTAGCTGGCTAGATGCTGTGCAGTAAAATGCTAAAGGATAAACTACAATAGGACTGTGTGTGCCTTTGTGAATACAGGGTGATAAGAACCAACAGAACCAGCATGGATCCCAGACTACATTGTATTCCAAACAGCAGAATTTTACTATCTGTACAATGATTTTTAAAGCTCAAGTTAAATATTTTTTAAAGCATTTGGTACTAATGTCATCAATACAGTTTTCGAAACTGTAAATCAGGTTGAATTTTGTGTACATTTCCTGGACCGAGCCGCCTGTCAGAAGTCACTGCCTGTGGTCAGCTTTTCATGGTTTATAATCAATTGATGTATAAATTTCAGCTAACACCCATAAAGCTTAGTTATGGGGCAGCAGAAAGGCAAGCAGAGAAGCAATTCTGTGTAATCAGTTCTGCTGAAACAATTCTGCATAACCCATCACAGGAAGGTAGGCTTGCAGAAGATGAAAATAGAATGTTTATTTATGTTTAACTTACGTTACTGTCAATCAACTCCAGGCAATGATTAAACTGGCCACAAGGAAAGGAGGGAGCATGCGTCACGGAGGCAGTAAGCGGCACACCTGCAGACTTGCTCTGCTCCATCGCTTTTTCCAAGAGGCCCAGGAAATGTCAGGTCACGGCTGCATCCAAGCTACAATGGTACTGATTACAGCCAGGTTAGAAAAGGCTCGCTTTTGTTCAGAGCAGATTCTACATCATTGAAGAGGGGGATCAGATCTTCAGATTCCAAAGTTCCTAGATCAACATTAGTTCCCGGAAGACAGTCAAGAAAATCAGGGAAACGGGTCTGCTGAGGGTTGATGTTCATGGGTGCCTGTCCTGCATTTTCTCCTATAACAGAATGAAATGAAACCATTTTAATTCTTTTTTAGAGCTCTTGAAAGAGGGACAAATTCAAGCGTCAACATAACTCTCATCTTCATTTCCGCTGTGTCTACATTCCACCAGAAGATTTTATTGCTGCAGGCCTAAAATATTTCATCTCTGTGCAAAATTTCAGCTACCACATTATTGAAACTGAATTGGAGATGCTCACTCCTAAGAGATGCAGAGATGCCAGGTGAACCTTTAATTGTTCTGGGTAGACATTGTACAGAATGGGTAAATCCAGGGAAACAGGAAAGGAGCAAATGAGGGTGCTGTGGATCTGACCTACAATCAATGACTTCCCATGACAACGGCATGAAGAGCTGGTTTGAGTAGAGAGGCCCTGCCTGTCATAAAAACCTTATCACAGGGCTTCCCTGGTGGCGCAGTGGTTAAGAGTACGCCTGCCGATGCAGGGGACTCGGGTTCGTGCCCCAGTCCGGGAAGATCCCACATGCCGTGGAGCGGCTGGGCCCGTGAGCCATGGCCGCTGGGCCTGCGCGTCCGCAGCCTGTGCTCCGCAGCGGAAGAGGCCACAACAGTGAGAGGCCCGTGTACCGCAAAAAAAAAAAAAAAAAAAAAAAAAAAAAAACCTTATCACAGAGCTATAATCCAATGATTTAACTGTAAGCTCAAATTTGCCCACATCATCCCTCTTTATGTTCAAAGAGAGTAGTGAGGAGTTTCTTTTAACCACGTTGTTAAAAAGCTATCTTCATTGATGACTCTAGGAGTCATTTTCAAAGTATTTTAGAGAGTGGGTGCTGCAGTTCACCCCCCTCACTCCACACACATACATACAGCCCGCAAATATCTACGCTTCTCACAATGCATATGAGTCACAATGCATGGGAGCTTACTAAGGTACTGAGAAATCTTGTAATAAGGAAGTCGGATATATTTTGCTTAAGCCACTATGACCTAAAGCCATTTTATCATCGAATGCAATTTTGGCAGAATTTATATCCTAATAGAACTAGAGTCTATAGAACCTAGTTGAGAGAATGCTGTTCCAGAGGAAAGTTAAGTGTCTGGCATATAACATGTGGAATACATGTTCTTCATGAATGATAGTATAGGAGAAAACGTACAGACAATTGTGCCAGGAGACGGAGCTTTTTAGCTGTGTAACCTTATTTAGACACACTTCACCTGTCTGAAATCGGGATTATAGCACCTTCACAAATTGGAGTTAGGTGCCATATAATATCTGCCACACACCAATGGCTCTGGGCTTCTTTCATACGTACACACTTAGGAAAACACAAAAAACACATTGCTTGTTGATTGTCCTGAGAGAAAGAAAAACCTGGGAACTCAATCACAGTTAATGACATAATAGCAGAGCAACTGGCTTATTCCAAGAACCCCAACCAATTTTCTGAAGGGATAAAATACACCTCACAGTCTGAGGTGCATTGAAAACTATGGCCAGCGTTCACCATGGAATCACTTTTAAGAAACTTATTACATTAGCTTTTGTGCCCTACAAGTACGGTAGCCTTCCTGAAAAGGCTGCTTAGGAATTTCACTATTCTGAGCAAAACAGGAGACAACTCATTTTAACCATATGCATTTTCCAAGGAGAAAAATTACATTTTTCTGAGTGATGAGGGAAAAATACTCAAACTTGCATTTTGGTGATAGTAAAACTTGATGGCTTTTCTATAACTCATAAAACATCAATGACTCTTAGGACTATTTTATAGGATTTTCATTGCAAAAGGCAGTATTTTAAAAGTTAAATCGAGTTCAACATGACCTCAATGCTGTTGTGTTACTGGCTTGAAAAACAACATTAGTTTAGAAAAGAAAATCCAAAATAACTTTTTTCTACCCACTAGAGTGTAACAAATGGAAATGAGGCTTAAAAAAATTATCTGCCCTGAAAAATCAGCTGATCTAAAGTGCTGGATGTCTTTTTTTTCTTCATCTCCAGTTAGAATTATTCATCTCTACTGATTTCCCATTTTAACTTTTTAGTAAGTCAAGAATTCATTTTTTTAACCAAATAATATCTCTCTGTTTTAAAGAATTCCTCTTATCCTTTCTCCTCGGGCATGGAAAGCACGAGGAGACTAGTTAAGGTTCTTCAATAAGGTTAACAATCTTAAAATCTCTCTCTTTGGAGCAACTCTGCAACCTCGTAGGAATTTTTTGGGTCTTTGCAGTTTTATCCACTTAAAAAGTGGGACATATTGCACAACACGGGGAATATAGCCAATATTTTACAATAACTATAAATGGAGTATAACCTTTAAAAATTGTGAATCACTGTATTGTACACCTGTAACTTATATAATATTATAAGGAAACTATACCTCAATTAAAGTATAAAGGATGCATATCTGCATAGATAATAAAAATGAATGAATGAATGAGTGAAAAGTGGGACAGACAAAAAACAACAAGCAATTCTTAAAAGGGTGTGATTATTGCAGAATATTCTGGAAGGTGGATGACTTCCAGCCTTTGCTCCTGTTATTCCCTCTACTCTATCCTCACACCATGTCCAGCTGTTGTTTCCATGTGTATTTTGCAAAGGGAGTGTTCAGCTGGCTTGTTCCCATTCAGCATGTGGTCGGCATGTGATCAGTGCGTCTACTAGATCTTTGCCAGCCACACTTGAGCTCAGCTTTTCCTCATCTTGTTCCTGAAAAACTAATCACATTTCTCCCCTTGGGGGGGTTTATGCCCACTCCCTATAAAGGCTTCACAGACATGACCCTAAACCCAACGGGCTGACACTCACTACACCCGGTTAACCTGGAACCCTAACATTTAACAAGACCAACATGTACATTACTTCATCCTTCTTAGAAGGAGCAGAGAAGACAACTTTGTGCCGAGCTCTGTGACCTCATGAGCCCTCACAACCCTACAAGATGAGCACATTACTCCTACTTTATAGGTGAGAACTCTGAGGCCCCTGGGAGGTTATGTCACTTACCCAAAGTCATTACTAAGAAGCAGAGAAGCAAAGATCCAGCTCAGGTTGCCTGACTGCAAAGACTACGCTCTTTTCAGGACACCACTTAATTCTGCATTTTGGCTTCTCCGCTCAATGTCATTTTTAAAAGCCATAGAATAGAATCCATCTTCTTTTATTTTTAAATGTCAAGCTTGGATTTAGATCTCCTGAGTCATTTCTTATTTAACTTTGCTTTTTATCTTTACTGGCTTCCCAGTGTTTAAAAGATGAAAGCAAACACTTATTAAACATAGGAAGGAGACACTTCATCAGGCAGGTCTGAAGAGGGCAAGATAAATCTCACACCGAAAAATAAAGAGAGGGATGAAGAGAGGGAGGGAGGGAGGGAAGCAGCAAGGGAGGGAGAAGGCTGAAGTAATAAATTGAAGAATAACAAAACAAACAGTTCAAACTATTCCTGTGTGACTCCTCACAAGACAGTCTGTGCAATTCTCTCAACAAGTAGATGACGGGCTGCACGGAGAGCCCGGAACAGCCGCTCCAACCTTCTGGCCGAGTTTGACTTTTGTCTGACCAATTGTTTAGTTTTAGAGCACAAAGTGCAGTCATCGAGGAGCAGAGGGTGACAAACACGGGCGCTCTGGACAACGGCACTGGGGAAAGCAATCATTTCATCACAGAACGATTTTCTTTCAACAGTGAGGATGGAGGAGAAACTCGCATGAACAGCTCCAAAGAGGGGATACATCAGCTATCATTTAATTTTTTTAAGTCCATTTTCAGGGTGTTATTTTTTAATTGAAGTCTAGTTGATTTACAATGTTGTGTTGGTTTCAGGTGTGCAGCAAAGTGATTCAGTTGTACATCTGTAGATGTAGATACAGATATAGGTATAGATACAGATATTTATATAGATATAGATATTTATATAGATATTCTTTTTCAGTTTTTTTTCTATTATAGGTTATTTCAAGATATTGAATATAGTTCCCTGTGCTATACAGTAGGTCCTTGTTGTTAGCTGTCATTTAATTTTGGTTTCAGAATATCTTCTGGGAATTTAGGACTTTGATAATTAAGTCTAGACCAAATTTGGAGGCATCGCTCCTAGAGAAATGGTGAAAAGGAGGTAACCGGGAAGCCAGCTGAGGCCTAGCCTGAAAGCAGGGCAGGCCAGGAACCATGTTAAATTTAACTGCTGAGGGAGGACACTGTTACCATGTTAGGATTTGGAGCTGACATTTTAGAATCCTCTGAGTTGCTTAACTTTCCAAATGCCCACTGCCAATTACTTCCCAAATGCAGTTAATGACATGAAAAAATTTGCATACTGGTGGCCTGTACATTACAACCAAAAGCTAGAAAAGCATAAATATTCCATTGTGGAAGAATGGCAAAGCAGACAGTGGTATGTTAATGCAATTGTGAGGAAAGGGCTATATGAAGCAAGGACAAGCAAAAGGAAGGAAGGGAGGGAGGGAGGGAGAGAGGAAAAAAGCAGAAACTAAAATCCTGTGCCCATATATAAAACTATATTTGTATAAACTATGGGGAAGTGTCTAGAGTTTATTAATAGTGCCTGGCTTCGAGTGGCTTTTCAGCTGTAAGTTTATGTTGTTGCTGAGGTTAAGTGTCTCTCGTTGGATTTTAGAATTGAGAGGACTAGGGAACTTCCTTTTGGCGGTCCAGTGGTTAAGGCTCCGCCTCTGTGCTGGGAAAGAGGCAGGGAGACTGAAGGTTAGTGAAAGTCCGCAGCCACAAGCAAATCTTTGACACATGCAGATATAGAAAGAGTTTGGAGGAGGGAAGGGAAGAGGAAAATGGAGCCAGAGGGGGAGGGTGTGGAAAGGTAGACTGCCTGGAGAGAAAAGGTGTGGCCTCAAAAAAAAAAAAAAAAAAAAAAAAAACGAATTGAGAAGACTACAGAGACGATTTAAAAGTGCAAACCCACTGCAGGGCCTCGCAGACTTGGCTCCTACCTGTGTCCATCTCATCCACGTTGCTGAGGAAGTCCTCCGGAGTCGTTGGGACACTGTAGCACCCTAATCCCAGGCCGCTGTCGGTGCTCTGCTCCCTTGAATGATATGGCCCCCTGCAGAGCAAAAGACGGAAAGAAATTTCAAAATTAAAATACAGTCATGAAGACCCTCAACTAGTGTAGTTCTGTCACCCTGCCCAATCTTCAGATAACAAAGGGAGGTGGACTTTGCACTTCCTTTTAATTTTGAAACATATATCCCTGTGTCAATTAAATTTATAAATTGTAAGCAAAAAAAAAACCTGGCCATTCATACTGAATTGACACTGATTCCCTTTTCATCTCAAAATAACAATTTGAACACCGTTCTACATACAGAGAATGATACCATTTACGTACATTTTTTCAAAACCGAAAACGATGTTGAATATTGTTTCTGGATACAGGCATTAACAGGCAATAAGAAATATAAAAATACGTGTGATGAAAAAAGAAAAAAAAAATGTGTGTGATGACTACACATAAATTTCCAAATAGTGGCTACCACTAGGGAGGGAAGACGGGAAAGAAATGGATTTCAGTGGTGGTGGGGAAGGGTTTAAGTATTAATTGTAATACTTATTCAAAAAAAAAAAAGATCTATGGAGATATGCAAAATGTGGGAGTTGGGTACACGGGTAAATCTTAAGTTATTCTTTATACTCTTCTGTACGTTTCAAGTACTTTTAAATCAATCATTTAAAAACGCCTTTCTTTCATTATTTCCCTTACTGTTTGTTTTCATCTCTCTCTCTATTTTTAATAACTTTCATAACTGTACTAGCTTGTTTGCCAGAAGACTCCACAAGGGCAGAAAAGACACAGGAAATAGAAAACTGCCTTTTATTTGGGTTTAAAAGGCTACAATTAAGGTGGACGACTTCTACTCACGAAGATATTTCTGGTTCAATCACCTTTTCCTTCTGCTCATATATCTCATATTTTAAAACAACACCTCTTTGTTTTAATTAAAATTTTAAATTGTGAAATAATTTTAGACTCACACAGAAGATGTAAAAAGAGTACAGAGTTCCTGTGCATCCTGTACCCAGCTTCCCCAAGGACATGGTACACACCATAGTACAGTGATCAACACCAGGAATTGACAATGTATAATACTATTAACTAAACTATAGACCTTATTCACATTTTGCCACAAACATCACCTCTTAATTGTTTTGCTCCCTTATTTGCCATATGACATGCTTTTATCCCCTGTTGGCTACATAAAACCACAAGATTCTTCTAAATAATTACTATACAACACCATCCCATTGAAAACGTTAAGTTCATCCCCATTTTCAAATTATTGACTAGGGGTTTACTCCATGCCATAGCACCAATTTTTGAATTTGAGATTTAAAAAAAAAACGTAGATGACATCTTCCTCCACTTTTTTTTTTCTGCCACCTCCCTCCACACCCTCCCTCTATACTAACCCCATCCTCCAAGCTCCCCAACTTTTCCCAACATAAACAAAGATCTGTTATACTGTAAACCACATAATAAAAGAAAGCAAAAATAAGTGGCCCTAAAATGTTGACTTACCCATTGAGGAAAGGATCCGAGCTATTATTAGTGATGGATCTCATGTCTGGAGTCATGGCGGGTGGGTTGACAGCAGCCTGAACCGTGGCTATAGTCTCGGCTTCCATGGGGAGCTGTCTACAGAGGGCGGCTTCCTACAGAGAGGTGACAGTCCGAGGGAGAGGCAACAGTGATTCATTCATTGTCATAAGGATCGGGGCAAAGGATGCTTCGCATAAAAACTTTTCACCAAACACAAAAGCGCTTTACGTTTATTCCTCATACGTCAAAATCATCAGGAAATCATTAGTGTTCTTTCTCTGAAGAAATCTTATAGATATAAGTCACTTTCTCACATTCACAAAGTTAATGAGAAGCTCATGTAATATTTGCCCTCAAGGCACTTACATAGCAACTATCTAACCCATCCAATTGCTTAAAATACCCAAATCAGGGCTTCCCTGGTGGCGCAGTGGTTGAGCGTCCGCCTGCCGATGCAGAGGACGCGGGTTCGTGCCCCGGTCCCGGAAGATCCCACATGCCGCGGAACGGCTGGGCCCGTGAGCCATGGCCGCTGAGCCTGCGCGTCCGGAGCCTGTGCTCCGCAACGGGAGAGGCCACAGCAGTGAGAGGCCCATGTACCCGCCCCCACAAAAAAAAACCCAAATCATATAAGGGCCTCTCAAGACACTTTCTCAGAGACAAGGTTATTTTTACCCCAGGTGCTCTGACCAAATCTAAGTCAATCAAAGCAGGTGTACCTCTCTGGACTAGCAGGTACATTCTGGTCTTTCCTGCTTATAGGCCAGGAAAGCAGTGGGATTACAGAGTTCTGGCTCTGCATTAAGTCACATCTGGCAGTTTTATATCAATAACCAGGAGAGCAGAACAACCAGTTTAAAAGCTTGTTAGTCAATCAGTTTTTCTATTTTACTAATTATTTTGTTGACTAAAATGGCTGAAGTTTGGGGAACCATGCAGATCCAATCCAAATCCCACTGACGATTAACTGTTCGATAGCACATGGATTTCATTAGCAAAAATTAAAACACTAGCATTTTTTTTAAGCTAGCATTACTTTGCCAAGGAGAGTCAATCCAAAAGGTTACAAATCTGACTGCAATTACTTTCTCTAGATATAACCTCTAGGGAGTCTCTCCCATTTTGACAAACATGACCAGACATCAAATTCCTTTCAAATTTGCTGCTGTTTCCAGAGAATAATACTTTTATATATTTATACATGCATCCAAAACCAAAGTTAGGCCCTCGGCATATTTATGCCTATCAGTTTCCCACTATGCAGGCTGAATCACTGGTCTCACCATCCCTCAAACCCCAAAACCATGGCTACAATGGCAAACAGAATATTTAGACCATCTAAGCTACAGTGTCTGTGTTAGATCCCTTCCAGCCCTGACACACAATGATTTTAGAGAGTAACTGCTGTCTAGACAAGTCTAGTGAAATCATCGGCCATAAAAACTTTCGGTTACTAGAGTTCACTATTACTGTTCCGAGGAGTTATGGTAGCATAACTCTTTTAAACCATGAAGACCTGACTGATAAGAAACTGCATTGTTAACTTATACTGAAATAAATACCCCGTCTAGATAGGGCTCTTGGTTCACCTCTGCTCATTTGGATTGCAAATAATCAAATACTTAACTAACAAATTTTATTCAGTAATCTGTAAAAAGCAAACCAAAAAATGGAGTTTTTTTTTTTAAAGGGGGATTTTAATCTCAATCTTGGAAGTACCTTCTCACTAAATCTAGAAAAACTGAATTATTTCCTATAGTTGTTTTTATGTGGTAGGCAGTGTGCATTAGAAATCTTATGTTCCAACCAAAGCTTACCCGGAGGCCTCACACACAAGAATAACAGGGAATTGGACCTGGTGTGAAGAGCACAGAGGCCACCAACCTCTCAAACAGACTCATACACACAAACCACAGTCTGAAAACAGCTAGTCAATGATATAATTTCTAGTCCTTTATAAACTGTAAATACAAAGATCCTTTGGGGAATAACCTTCATTATCCAAAAAATCAACTGTAACTAGAATATTCCAATTCTCCAAACTTTCTGAATAAATGTGGAGTGTACCCCTAAACGGATACCCATTTAAACATACAGCTTGAAGAGATTGCTGCATTTCTTTACATGTGACACAATTTTATCACCATATATCTTAAGAACACTAGTTGAATTCGCAGTTTCCAGGTGGTCTGCATTTAAACATAATAAGAATCATTTCTGGAACTTCACTGGGGAAAAAAATATAGATACAATGTATATATGAATTATTTGTCATCTCTAATGATATATCATATGAAAATAAAATGTTTAAATTATAAGAAAAATATCTAGTTTCTGATATTTTAAGCTTTCCTCTTCATTTAAATTACTCCTGGAATAGGTCAAATAGATACAATATGCATTTTAAAAGAATGCTTGTGTGTGGCTAAATATATAAATGAAATTCAAAAGAACTATTTATAATAACCAAAGCTGGAAGAACCTATACTATTATATATCAGGGAAAATGTTTCATGGTGCCATTTCACATCTGTCCCCTCTATTTAAAATGAGAGATAACTGAAGTTCCATTCCTCAGCATCGATGTTTCCCTCACTACTTTGAGGACTTGACCCCCACGGCATCATGAGAGGCAATGCTCTGTTCTGCCTGTAGGGGGCTCGCACTATCATTTTCGCCTCCGAGTGACTAACTTGGGAGAGAGAATACAGAAAAGGTGTTGAATATACCTGAAAACTAACTTTGCAATATAAATTAGGCCAGTCTGAGTTAGAAACTCTTCCGAGGGGGCAACATTTTCTTCGAGATTATTCTAAGATTATTCTTAAGTCACAGCAGCCACTGTGAAGGTTATGTTGGCCCCTGGCTCTAAACGCACCTGCTCCCTATCCCACCTGGACGGTGGCCCACAAAGCCTGCCTGACAGCCCTGTACCCGTCTCCTCCTTTGTCTCGGAAAGGACCCCCTCACTCCTTCACTCCTTTCCCACAGCTCCTCCCACTTCTGGCATCTGCTCCAACTGTTCGTTCTGCTTGGAACACTCTCCTCAGATCTTCCTGAAGTTCACTCCCTCATTGATGTCTGTCTCAACAGATGCCATCTCGTCAGAGATTACATTCAGTGCTCTTGATGGCAACTTATATATTTACTGTCTGCTTTCTCTTTAGAGTGTAAAGAGAGGAAAGGGATCTTATTTGTCATGTTCACTTCTGTATCCCCACTGTGTATAACAACCCAGGCATATAGTGGGCACTTGATAAATATTCACTCGATGAAGAAATGAAAAATATTGCTGGAATTCAAATGGAAATATTTTAAATTATAATTAATAATAAAAGGAAAAATTAACTAAGATCATTCAATTCTCATCTTCAACCACAAGTATGAGTAAAACAACAGTCTACTGTATAGATCCCAACTAGCCAGGCTCAAACTCCATCCTAATGAAATGATCCCATGGTGTTTCTCCTGCTCCCAACACAGGAGATGGGCAGGAGGGCAGAGTGGTCAGAAGCAGGGATTCCAGGGCCAAATGCTTGGATTTGAACCCTGGCCATGCCATCTCCCAGCCAGTTATCTAATTTCTTTGTTCCTCATTGGTAAAGTGAGGATAATAATAGCATCCACCCAATAGGGCAGCTGTGGTGATAAAATGAGGTAACACATATAGGGTACTTAGAGCAGTGCTGGCACATGAGATCACTTAATAAATAATACTTAATAAATAAGTATTATTATCGTCTTATGTTCTGTATTCCAATCCCAGAAAACAAAACAAAAATAAACAATCTTAAAAGTCACACTATCCACTTTGAGTGGTCTGACACCTTTTCCTGGTCAACTTTCACCTTGGAAGGATTACACCAAATGTGAAATTCATCATGAGTTGGCAAGGCTCAGAATTTAACTTTTTAAAAATTTTACCAAGGAGAGGTTTGTAAACCTTTTTGTATAACATAAAATTGATTTTTAATATAAGTGGAGAATGGTGAGAAATTTCATTTCACTCAATTATGTTTTATAATATAATAGTTCCATATTTAGATTTTTTTTTTTTTTTTTGCCACACTGCATGGCATGTGGAACTTCCCCAACCAGGGATGGACCCTGCACCCCCTGCAGTGGAAGTTTGGAGTCTTAACCACTGGACCACCAGGGAAATCCCCATATTTAGAATTTTTGAAGGTCTAGCCTTTTTTGAATGAAAACAGTTTCCTATTTCTGTTCATAAATTGAAATAGTAATACAAAATCTAAGGTTTGGAAATAAAAGAACTAACCTCACTAACACGTCCCCATCCAAAGAAAGCAGGATTTTTATTTTAAAAAGAAAAAAAAAAAAGAAACTAAATTTAAGTATAAAATTAAACCCCAGACGCAGTATGATTTTGGCTGCCACGTGACCTCCGCTGCCCTTGCCCGGGCAGAAATGAAAGGCAAACACCTGACTTTAGTCTGACCAAGATGAGGGAGTCAAGACTGAAGGAGAAGCGGAAGCAAAGGCTGCAGATGGGGCACTGGACTAAGTGAACTGACGTGGAAACAGGGGGACAGTTGAACAAGGCTGGTCTAGGACAAGACTTAGGTCTCCAACTCAGAGCTGGCAGTGCAACTGCCCTAACCCTGTGCTCCCTCCCCAGCTCCCCCCGGTGCAGGCAGGATAACACACGCTAAGCTGGAGGCACACCTGAGCCCCTTTGGTCTGTCTCATCTCCCACCTCCACTCCAGTTCAGCAAGATCCTTTCCCAGTGTCCCTTCCACTCCCACCCACCCTATCCTCCCAAACAAGGCTTCAGTTTCCTGAAGTCCTCGGTACTTTGGGTCCCTCTTCATCAAGACATATCCCCCCACCCTTAGGGGTTCTGTTACATCACCTTTCGCAGGATGCCTTCCCTGACAGCCATAACCACAGCAAACCACCACCTGCCCCTTTCCCACCCCTGAAGTCCAAAATAACGCATCCAGCTGGGGTCTGAAACTCCATGTCTCACAGTA